CTATGATTTTCTGGAAATGAGACAGGAAATCAAATAATATTTTTTTGAAGAGCTAAGGTCCAATTTTCAAATGTAATCCAGTTCTTTTCAGGAAGTGTTAATCACGTGATTCTATTACCATTAAAAACAGTCATAATCCTGCAATACTGACCATCTGTTTCAGATATGGCAGGCACACTTGGGAAACCCAGAAGAATAGGAACTCAAAACTGTTATTTGTTAGAGAGCTTATCAGTCCAAGAAGATTTCGCCTTGGTCAGACGTGGACAAGGCATTACTGGACCAGCCATGTTGGTTCCACATCTCCCTGTGCTTTCAACTGTTCGTGTGACTGCTGTGTGTCCCTGGGTTGTCTGACCTGCAGTTGTACTGCACTTTTAGTACAATGCCTGCCACCCACAAGAGTGTTGTAACAATTGCTGAAGTGAATGCTATAAAGCATTGTGAGCAATTCAGAAGAAGGGTGCTGCTTAACTACCCAAAATCATTATACACCCACAGGTAAAGCTCTTTCTCTCTTTCTCTCTCTCTTTTGACACTCTTAGTATGGTAATATAAAAGGGCATTTCTCAGGGTACATTTAAATGTCTGTGTGTATTTCATTCCATTTGTTATTCATTTTAACTTTTACATTAATTATTATTTTCAAGATACTATCCTTGCACTAAAGGAAACCTATTGTCAATTTAATAATTCTATGTCACTACTAGGACTGAATATTTGTGTCCCTATTGGTGTTCCCCCAAAATTCGTATGTTGAAATCCTAATCCTCCATGTGCTGTATTGGGAGGTGTGGCTTTGGGGAAGTGATTAGGTCATGAAGACAGAGCCCTCATGAATAAGATTAGTGCCCTTGTAAAAGAGACCCAGAGCACTCTCTCACTCGTCTGCCGTGTAAGGATATAGTAAGAAGACTGCAGTCTATAAACTGGTAAGCTGGCCCCTGCCACACACTGAATCTGCATCTTAATCTCAGACTTCGCAGCCTGCAGAACTGTGAGAAATAAATGTAGTTTAAGCCACTCAGTCTTTGGTATTTTTGTTATAGCTGCCTGAATGGAGTAAGACAGTCACCATGTTTGAAAAAGAGACATATTTAGGTCTCTAGGAGCTGCCTGTCTGTTAATTTATGACTAAAATGAATTTGGTCATGATTTCCTATCTAAATCTAGATTATTTGGCCGTGTGTCAGAAACACATGTTTGGGAATTTATTTGGCTAGATGACTTGGATTGAAGCCTCAAAATTTAAAAAGAAAAGAGAAAAAGCACAACTAAACAGAAGCTAATCAATGTAAATACCTGACAGTATTGAAGCAGCCAGGGATGAGAGCGGCCTAAACCATCACAGATATGTTTCTGTATAGCTCACTTTTTCTGTTTTTTTTTTTCTTTCTTTTATAAAACAACAGCGTTATTGAGATGTAATTCACATACCAAAAATGCATCCTTTTAACGTGCAATTCAGTGTTTTTAATACATTCACAAAGTTGTGCAACCACTGACACCAGTTCCAGAATATTTTCGTCACCCCCAAAAGAAGCCCTATGCTTATTTGCATTTACCCCCATTCCCCCTTTCTGGAGCCCCTATAAATCATTAATCTACTTTCTGTCTCTACAGGCTTGCCTATTCTGGGCAGTTTATATAAATGGAATCATACATTATGTGAATTCTTTCATTCAGCATAATACTTTCAAGGTTCATCCATCTTTACTCCTTTTTATGGCCAAATAATATTCCATTGTATGGATATAACACATTGTCTATTCATCAGTTGATGGACATTTGCGTTGTTTCCACATTTTAGCTATTATGAATCAAGTTCTATGAACATTAGTGTACAAGTTTTTGTGTAGACATGTTTTCAATGTTCTTGGGTGTATAGCTAGCACTGGCATTGCTAGGCCATATGGCAACTCAATGGTTAACTTTTTGAGGAACTGCCAAGCTGTTTTCCAGTGTGACTGCATCATTTACATTCTCACCAACAATAAATGAAGATTCGAATTTCCCCACATCCTTGTCAACACTTTTTATTGTCTATCTTTTCAATGATAGTCGATTTAATGGATGTGAAGTGGTATCTTGTGGTTTTGGTTTGCATTCCCTTAATAACTAATAATGTTAAATATCTTTCCATGTGATTACTAACCAACTTTTCTTTGTTTCTCCTTCACTCCTACCATGCCTAGCCTCTGGTAACCATGATGAATCCACTCTTTACCTCTATGAGATCCACATGTAGCTCGCACATATGAATGACAGCATGTGGTATTTGTTTTTCTGTGCTCAGCTTATTTCACTTAACCTAATGCCCTCCAGGCCCATCCATGTTGCTATAAATGAAAGGATTTTATTTTTTATGGCTGAATAATATTCCACTGTGTATATGTACCACATTTTCTTTATCCATTTATCTATTGATGGGCATATAGGTTGATTCCATATCTTAGTTATTGTAAATGGTGTAATAAATATGAAAGTGCAGATATGTCGTTCATATACTGATTTCCTTTCTTTTGGATAAAATGGACTAAAGACTTAAGTCTTTAGCAGTAGGACTGCTAGATTATATGGTAGCTCTATTTATAATTTTTTGGAGGAACTTCTATACTGTTTTATAGTGACTATACGAACATTTCCATCAATAATGTATGGGCATTCCCCTTTCTCCACATCCTCACCGGCATCTGTTATTTTTTGTCTTTTTGATAAGAGCCATTTTAATTAGGGTGAGATGATATCTCATTGTGGTTTTGATTTGCACTTCCCTAATAATTAATGATGCTGAGCACTTTTTCTTATACCTGTTGGCCATTCATATGTCTTCTTTTGAAAAATATCTATTCAGATCTTTTGCTCCCTACTCCTTTTTTGAGATAGGGTCTCACTATGTTGCTCAGGCTTGTCTCCAACTCCTGGGCTCAAGCAATCCTCCTGCTTTAGCCTCCTGAGTAGCTGGGATTACAGATGAGTGCCATATGCCTGGCTCTGCCCATTTTTTAAACAGACTGTTTTCTGCTATAGAGCTGAATCTTTGTATATTCTGATTATGAATTCCTTGTGAGATGGATAGTTTGCAAATATTTTCTCCCATTCTGTAGGTTGTGTCTCCACTTAGCTGATTGTTTCCTTTGCTATGCAGAAGTTGTGTGTGTGTGTGTGTGTGTGTGTGTGTGTGTGTGTGTGTGTGTGTGTGTTTAACTTGCTATAACCCCATTTGTCTATTTTTGCTTTGGTTACCTGTGCTTTTGAGGTCTTTTCCAAAAAATCTTTGTCTAGACCAATGTCCTGAAGCATTTTCCCCAGTGTTTTCTTCTAGTTGTTTCATAGTTTCAGGTCTTAGATTTAAGTCTTTAATTTATTTGGATTTGATTTTTTGATATGATGAGATATAGAGGTTAGCTTCATTCTTCGGCATCTAGTTATTCAGTTTTCCCAGCACCATTTATTGAAGAGACTGTACTATCTCTAATGTATGTTCTTGGCACTTATGTTGAAAATGGGTTGGATGTAAATGCATGGATTTATTTCTGAGTCTTTATTCTGTGGCATTGGTCAATGTGTCTGTTTTTATTTAAGTAAACTTTCTTTTGGCTATTATAGCTCTGTAGTGTATTTCAAAGTAAGATGCCTCCAGCTTTGTTCTTTTTGCTCAGCATTGGTTTGGCCATTTGGAGTCTTGAGTGGTTCTGTTAGAATTTGATGGGTTTTTTTTTCTACTTTTATGATGAATGTCATTAGTATTTTGACAGAGATTGCACTGAATCTGTAAATTGCTTTGAGCAGTATGGTCATTTTAATGATATGAATTCTTCCAATCCATGAGCATAGAACAGTTTTTCCTTTTTTTCTCTTCAATTTTTTCATAAGCACTTTATAATTTTAATTGCATAAACCTTTCACTCCTTTAGTTAAATTTATTTATAGGTATTTTGCATAGTAAATAGGATTGCTTTCTTGATTTCTTTTTCAGACTATTCACTGTTGGCATATATAAATGCTACTGATTTTTGTATATTGATTTTATATCCTGAAACTTTACTGAATTGGTTTATCCATTCTAGTTTTTTGGTGGAGTCTTTAGATTTTTCTAAATCTAATATCATATTGTCTACAAACATGATGATTTGACATCTTTCTTTCTAATTTGGATATTATTTTTTTTTTTTTTCTTGTCTAATTACTCTGCCTAGGACTTCCAGTAGTATGTTGAATAAAAGTCTTTGGCCATTTAAAAAAATTTTTAATTTTATTTTGACTTGTAAAAATTATGTATTCTGATACAAGCTCCTTATTAGATATTGTTCTGTGGTGTGTCTTTTCACTTTATTGAAGTAAAGCACAAAAGTTTTTTAGGTTGATGATGTGCAATTTTTGTTGTGCTTTGATGGCATATCTAAGAAACCACCGCCGAATCCAAAGTCACAAAGATTTACTCTAATGTTTTCTTCCAAGAGTTATATAATTTTTACGCTTACCTTTAGGTTTTTTATTTATTTTTGAGCTAATTATTCTATAAAATAAAAAGTCAAAATCCAACTTCTTTCTTTTGCATGCAAATATCTAGATGTCTTTGCCTTTATTTTTTTTTTTTTTAAGAGACTGTACTCCAGGCTGGAGTATAGTGGTGTGGTTGTAACTCACTGCAACCTTGGCCTCCTGGGCTTAGGAGATCTTCCCATCTCAGCCTCTGAGTACCTGAGACTATAAGCTCATACCACCACACCCAGTTAATTTTTTAATTTTTATTTTCTTGGAGACAGGGTCTTTCTATGTTGCCTAGGCTGATCTTGAATTCCTGGCTTCAAGTGATTCCCCAACCTCAGTCTCCTGAGTAGCTGGGATTACAGGCATGGGCCACCACACACAGCTTCTCAGCACTTTTTTCTTTGACACAGTGTCTCACTTCCCAGGTTGGAGTGCAGTGGTGCACTAACTACAACCTCTGCCTCCCAGGCTCAAGTGATTCTCCTGCCTCAGCCTCCCAAGTAACTGGGACTACAGGTGTGTGCCACCACACCCGGCTAATTCTTGTATTTTTAGTAGAGACAGGGTTTCAACATGTTGGCCAGTGTGGTCTCAAACCCCTGACCTCAGGTGATTCACCCACCTTGGCCTCCCAAAGTGCTGGGATTACAGGTATGAGCCACTGCATCCAGCCCTCAGCAGTATTTATTCAAAAGAATATTCTTTCTCCTTGAATTGTCTTGACAGGTTCCTTTGTAGAAAATTAATTGACCATTATGTGAAGGTTTATTTCTGGACTCTCAATTCTATTCCAGTGATATTTATGTCTATGCTTATGCCATTACTGCACTGTCTTGATTATGGTAGCTTTGTAGTAACTTTTGAAATAGGGACATATGAGCCAATTTCTACAAAAGAAAAAAAAAGACAGATGAAATTTTTATACGCATTGCATTGAACATATAGGTCAATTTGGGGAGTAATATTTTAACAATATTAAGCTTTCCAATCCATGAACATAGGATGTCTTTCCATTTACAGTCATGTGCCACCATAATGACATTTTGGTCAATGACAAACCAAATATATGACGGTGATCCCATAAGATTATAACATATTTTTACTGCACCTTTTCTATGTTTTGATATCTTTACGTGCATAAATATTTACTATTATGTTATAGTTGCCTACAGTATTCAATGAAGTAACATGCTGTACAAGTTTGTAGCCTAGGAGCTATAGGTTATGCCATATATTTGCAGTGTGTATAGTAGCCTGTATACAATCTAGGTTTGTGTAAGTACATTCTGTGATGTTCACATGACAAAATCACCTACATCTAAGAACACACTTCTCAGAATACAATCCCATATGACTGTATTTAGATCTTAATTTCTTTCAATGGTTATTTTGCACTTTTTGGTGCAGATCTTTTAGATCTTTTACTCATTTTGTTAAATTTATTCTTATTTTATCCTTTTTGATGCTGCTATGAATGAATTTTTGAAATTTCACTTTTATATTGTTCATTGCTAGTATATAGAAATATATTGATACTTGTATTTTGATCTTGTATCTTGTAACCTTTCTTAATTTCTTAATACTTCTAATAGTTTTTTAAGTCATTCCTTAGGATTTTCTGTATATGATATTATGCCATCTGCAAATAGAGATGGTTTCATTTTTTACTCTCCAATATGGATACTTTCTATTTCTTTTTCTTGACTAATTGCCTTGTCTAGAGCTTCTAGTACAATGTTGAATAAAAGTAACAAGAATAGGTCTTCTTGTCTTTTTCCTGACAAGGAAAAGCATCTATTCTTTCACTATTGTGTATGATACTAGTTGTGAGAGTTCTGTAGATGATCTTAATCAGTTCATTAAATTCCCTTCTATAGCTCTGTTTAAATGCCACTGGTGGTCAGGGGTGAATTGTTCAAACAAATGAGATCTGAAAGTTCATTTGGGATTTTATGTCCTTTTCATTACTTGTAATAAGGTATGGAAACAATGCCCACTAGAGACAGATTCTCTGTTTTTTGTTTGTTTGGTTTTTTGTTTTTTGCTTTTCCTGAAAAAGGCTGGATGTTGCAGAAGAAACTTTTCTCTCTTTTCCTTTCCCCTGAGCATTCTTCTGTATCTCCTGCACATGACAGCAAACAACTGATTGGGGTGGGTAAATATAATAACATCTTTCCTTTCTATCTTTATGCTTGTGGCATGCAATATGTTTGTGCATGAATTCTGATAGTGCATATGCCATGCCTGTTATATAAAATAGATAGCAGGAAGTCAGTAAAGGTGTCAACTCTAGAAAACTGTCTCAACAAACTTCTAAGAGAAGACATTATCACATCCAACTGAGAGTTTAGTTCCCTGGGGGAAATTAGGAAAATTAGGACTTGGTCTGCATCCTGGAAAAGAATTGCTGATTTGATGGTAATGATGATACAGCATCAATTTATAGAATAAGAACTACCAGGTGCTGAGTGGTACCTTTAAGAAGCTGAGACCCAAGAGCCAATGCACGGCTGGCTACCGAGGTACAAACAGTCCTAGCCAAGGAAAACACAGTATGGCAGGATTCTTTGGATGGCTTTGGTGACTATTCTTCAACTTCCTATTGCTTCATAGCTTGTCATTTTCCTCAGTGGCCTATATTCATCTCCTACTCTCAACTTTTGGCACTTTGCCTTTGGTACTATGTAAGGTCTAGGGCCAGTAAGTTCTGCCCTTAGCTGCCCCATGAGCCCCTCTCTTAGATAGCAGAATGAAAAACCGTCTTTTGTTTTTTGGAACTGACCATGCACATATCCCAGGTTTGACTCTGCTCAGCCTTGCATTATTTGTGTATTAACAATCACAATTGGAAAAGCAAAGCATAACATTTAAAAAAAATCTTTTAACTTCATCTCGTGATTTCAGAGCCAAATAACAAATGGGTTGCTATGAGTCTTTTTTTTTTTTTTATTTTGGAGACAGGTTCTTGGTCTGTCACCCAGGCTGGAGCACACTGATGCCATCATAGCCCACTGCAGCCTCAAACTCCTGTACTCAAGGGATGCTCCCGTCTCAGCCTCCCAGGTAGCTGGGACCACAGGCTCACACCACTATATCTGGCTAATGGCATTTTTTTTTTTTTTTTTTTTTAGAGAGACAGGTGTCTCCCTATGTTGTCCAGGCTGGTCTCAAGTGATTCTTCTGCCTCAGCTCCCAAGCAGCTGAGACTACAGTGCATCACCATGCCCAACTAATTTTTTATTTTTAGTAGACACAAAGTCTCACTATGTTGCCTGGGCTGGTCTCAAACTCCTGGGATCAAGCAATCCTCCCACCTTGGCCTCCCAAAGTACTGGGATTATAGGTGTCAACCACTGAACCTGGCCTACTACAAGTCTTAATAGCAAGCCCAGTTCTGCTGTTTGAGTTGAGAAGTAGCTTTGCTGTCTCTGATAGAAGAGAAATTATTCTTTGCTATTTGCATTTCACAAACTTCAGCATTTTGGGCAAGAATTATCAGGTTAAAAAAAGAATTTTAAAAGAGACAATAATCTTTCATTTCAGATGACACAATAATGCAATCATAGAGTACCTTAAAAGTTAGATAGGCTGGGTGCTGTGGCTCGTGCCTATGATCCCAGCACTTTGAGAGGCCAAGGCAGGAAGATCGCTTGAGTCCAGGAGTTCAAGACCAGCCTGGGCAACATAGTGAGATCTTGTGCCTACTAAAAATAAAAAATTAGCTGGGTGTGGTGGCATGTGACAGTAGCCCCAGCTACTTGGGGGCTGAGGCAGAAGGATTGCTGGAGCCTGGGAGATTGAGGCTGCGGTGAGCTATAACTGTGCTACTGCACTCTGGCCTGAACAACAGAGTGAGACCCTGTCTCAATTAAAAATGAAAAAGGTAGATAATTGACAATTATCTCCTTTGTCCAAAGATAATATAATCTATCCCTAGCTAATAATTTCTTTTTGGTCAACGAGAGACAAGATGGGATGGGAGAAGCAGAAGGGATTAAGATACATGAAAAGTCACAATAATACTTTACCTTTTTTGAGTCTTGGTGGGAGAGTTTAGGTGTTTCTCATAAAGTGTCATTGATCCTTGTGAGAGACATATTGTAGTGCTCCATGCTCACCTGGAGAGTCCAGAAACTGTGAGAAACTGACAGTGAGAAGTAAAGAACTGCTTAGAACACCTGGCAAAGTGGAAGAACTGATCGACAAAGGAAGATAAGACTTGAATTGTAGTGTGGTCTACACTAAGCAGACAATGAGACAAAACAGCCAAAAGGCAGGATGATTTCGCTAAAGCCTTGATGAGTTACCACACTGATAAGCCGCAAGCAAAGTAGAGAACCTGCTCAGGTCTTGGGCTTCTGATCCAGCTCTGTAATGAGATAGAGTATGCTCAGAAGTCTCTCCTATACTCTTCTAAGAATCCTGGGAGATGGATCTTCCTTAAGAGAAATGAGGCTTTAGCCCAAAAGCAGTATCAAAACTTGTTTTTAAAATATATAATCTTGTTAAGTTATTTTCTAGATAATTTGCATTTGTGGATTTATTCTGAGTAAATTTCCCCAGAGAGATGTCTGGGGATTTAGAGAGTATAAATAGGGTTAGAGCAAGAAATGAAAACGACACTCAGAAATTAGATAGGGGTCAAATGTAAACTCTCTGTAGGTGAAATGTTTTTCAATCCATTGGAATATTCCTAGTCTCTCTAAAAGGGGTAATTTAATTTTGGGCAGGGAAAATGTGGGAAGTGGAAGGGTAGGGGTGGGAGAAATCCTGGTATTCTTTAATGAGGAGACTAGAAAGGGAAAGGAAGAATATAAAATCCAACTTTTGTTCCTCCATCTGATTGTCCTAAAGCACTTCCAAATACATAAGACCTTTTCAAGAATACTTTTCAGAATAAAAGTCACTCAGCCTCCAAATAGACCCTGACTTCCAATGACATAAAAGTTTTGGGAAGACCCTTGAGTAGTGGACTTTAATTAAAACTGAAGTGTAGTAAGTTACCTATAGGGTAGAAATAGAAATGTTCATAAATTCAATGATGTAAAAACTTTTTAGGAAAATTAAAAATTCAATATTTCACATTTCCTTTCTCCCTCCCTTCCTTTCTTCCCTCCTTCCCTTCTTCCTTCCTTCCTTCCTTCCTTCCTTCCTTCCTTCCTTCCTTCCTTCCTT